AGGCTATAGAGCCACACCAAATAGATATTATCACAATATATTTTAGTGGTGAGATTAATAGGCTTTAATATATATATACAGCTATAGAAATCGAGACAGAGTTCTAATCGCGCGGCCGCGACGCGAGGTTAGAGGTGGTGAGCTTGTAGCACCTCCCTGAGGCTCCTCACCACCTTGAGGCCTCGCGATAGGCTTCTTTTTTTGAGTAGCCTTTGCAGGAGCCATGAAGCTCCTTCTCCTACCCCTTTAAGAAGTTTTAATAGCTTTTTGAAGTTGTTTTGCAGCCTTGCGAGCCGCGATCCTTGAGGCCTTTTTAATAGCCTTCTCCTCCCTCTCCTTCTGCCTCATTAGACTTACTGCAAGCCTCGCCTGACGCCTCTGCTCCTTCTCCCTCGCCCTAACCTGCCTTGTCTCCTCACGCTGTCTTCTCGTATCAGCCTTTTAGAGTTGCAGTTGCTCCTCCTCCTCCTCCTGGAGTTGTAGGCGATCGCGCGCCTCCTTCACCTTCCTTAGAGACCAGAATACAGCTCCACCATGATACTCCTCAGCCTCCTGTAGGGGTAGAGGCTTACCTTGTTTCCTACGTGTTCTCTTATTAACTAGAGCCTCTCTCAGCTTCCTTACTTTATCCTTGAGGAGACTGTTTTAAACCAAACTCGAGTGAAGGACCTGGCTGAGCTTTTTGGCCTGCCTATCGCCCTAATCAGCGACTACCTGACGCAGCAGACGCTCTATCTTCCTCTAATTAGAGGCACTAAGAGCTAAGGAGTCACTATCTGTCGCAGGATTAGGTACAGTAAAGCGCTAAAGGATAACTTCTAGGTTAAGAGGCGAGATCTCTGTAGCCTTAAAGGCGTTTAGGATCGTCGTTTTCTTAAAAGAGGCCTGCTAGGCAGCCTAGAAGAGGGGTAAGAAATCCCTCTTACTTATTAAAGTAAGGCCTTGGCTCTTATCTATGAAGGCAGAAACTTCGTTTGAGTACGCTGTTAAGAGAGGCTTAAACATGCTAACGTTAAGAGGCTGCAGCGTGTGGGTTAAGTGAGGAAGATATACTGCAAGGAGGATCTTATGCTCATCACAATACTTAATAAAATCCATTATAACGTGAGATCCATGGCCGTCAAGGACAAGTAATCAATAGGAGGATCGAGCCTTCGCCTTCATACTACAATCAAACACCTGCTGCAGCCACGCGAGGCCTATCTTATTGTTCGTCCATCCAGAAGGTGATGAAGATATTCGAATTTGGTGGATGTCTGGATCAAGGGCCTGCAGCCAGGTGTCCTGTATCAATCCTAAGGCTGATTGATATATGAGGGCAGGCTCAAGGCAAGATCTATCTGCGCAGATACAGGCTAACAGCGTTATCTACTAGCGTGAGCTATTCTGTATTGTAGTCCTCCTCCTTATGCCCTCGTACGAGGCCTTACTAAAGATCCTCCTTGAACAACTTACGATACTAAGCATGAAGCCCTTCTTATCTATATTGTAGATATGACGCGCCTTAACGTGATATTGATTAATTTTATTGCGTAGGAGGCTAAAGTAGAGGTTGTATTTGCTTCTTAAATCTGCTTTGTAGCGACAGTTATTAAGGCCTTTTGCCCACCTTGAGGTAAGTTGATTAGGATAGCGCTAGACGAAGCGACTAGCCCAGTGTACTCCAACCTCAGTCTTGGCGATCTGTGAGGCAAAATTGCGTATCATTGGCTAAGCAGGTGGTAAGCCTCTATCTATTAGTTAATTAATATAGGCGATTAGGGCCTGCTCCTGCTATAGGTAGAGGAGCTGCCATTTTTGGCCACCTATCGCGCGTAAGGCGTGTAGGCCTTAGTGTCTTTAGGTAAGCGTAGATCAAACAACACTATATTTTTTTACAATATCTATATACGAAAAAGGCTTATCAGGTCCTAGGGCATTAATAGCTACAAGCGCAGCCTCAATATTAGCCATAGTGGTGGGGATACGACGCGTCAAGGTTGAGGTGGTTGTAAGGCGCGCGCGCACTTTGTGGTCGCGCGCACTTTGTGGTGGGGCTAGTTAAGGTTATTTTCCTTTTTACGTTTAATTAAATTCTAAATAATCTAATTTAGCTTCCACCAACTAGGTGCCTTCTTCTAATCTAAGTAGAAGCACTAGTAAAGTAAGTGGCTCCCGTCGCACGCGGGACAGGGAGCTGTGATTTTTCAAGCTCTAGTGCTTCCTTAAGACAGTGATCTAACCTTGGTGCTTGCTAGTTTACTTGGCGCGGGTCTAGCGCTATCTGGGGACTGTGATCTGGCGCTAGCGCTTACTAGTCTACCACGACTTTGATAATTTAATGAGCTAGGTGAGGGATTCTAGTTATCCTTAGCTGTACGTTGATAAAGGGGTCTGCCCCGTTTACGACTCTAAGAGTTCCCCATAGTAGCCTGCTGGGCGTCCCCTTCTGGCTGGGTAGATTGGTGATTACTAGCGAGGTATGACGATTCCTCCATTATAAAGGCTGCCTTCTGGCTTCTTCCTCTTGTGACTGGATGATTTAGTGTCATATACTCTCGAAACCGTCTTATTATGTCCTTCTAGCTTAAGCTAGGTTAATCCTTTCTAGTAGCTTGGAAGGTTGCAGCCTAGATAGGAGCGATCTTATTTACTGCTGACGTAAAGTCTACAGTTATGATATTAATCTAGGAAACCTCTAGTACGTTTAGCATCTTAGCTTCTGTTGCAGCTTAGCTATATTTAGTAAGCTAGAGGTCCTAGACGTTCACTAAACGTGGAGGCTTGAGGGCATTTTAATATCTGTTGCGAGTTTGTTCTTGCTCAAACTTTGGTGCAATCCCAGCCTCCAGCTTCAGATTCTTAATCCACTGTTTTAGTGGTATATTAGGTAAGCAGCAAGTGCGCTAGAGATGTGGCGCCATAGTAGACTAAACTAGCACTACAATATGTTGTAGGCTAGCTAATTTAGTCTTGTACGCAGCGTGTTTTAGCTTATAACTCTCTATCTGGAGTTTGTAGACTTCAAGATCGTCCTTATAGGCTCTCTGCCCTAATGAGGATAGATCAGATAGTCAGGCTGGCACTCTTCCTTCTCCTAGTGCTGAAGATGGTGTATAATTGGAGATATCAGGGAGCCCTGGTTGAGATGGCTCTGCTAATGGCGTGGTTGTTGAGTCTGGGTCGACTTGGGCCTATACTTTGTAGGCTTCGCATTGGGCTTGTAGCTAGTTGTACTAGGTGCGATAGTCGTTCTCGTCGCGTAAGATAACGGTTGCGTTAATTACAGCAGATTGCGCGTTTATGTTAATTAGCTTAGTAAAGGTAGTAAGACTTTTAATTGTTAGACTATAAGGGGTTTCTAATTAAGGACTTGTTTTTAGGTCACTATGATAAAAGACTGTGATAAACTTAAGTATAGAAACTAAGTGTATTGAGTTGTTCTGTGCTCTGTTGTCTGTAGGGGCGCGAGGGCGCGCCCCTTATGAGAGCTATCGCTATTGCTTTTTGTATCAGGTAGGCCGCTAAGTATCAGCCTCGCCTAGGGTTAGGTCTTGGCGATCAGCCCTGATTGGTTGGGATCACAGAATCCTGGTGCTCGAGTCCGCACCCGGATTCTGCCACTTATCTGACAAATGTATTACTTATTTTAGGTTACTTAATATAGAATCTACTATTATATATATACTAGTATCTCTAATATACTCATATTTTTAATAAGTAGCTACTTCTTAAAGATACTAAAAGAAAGAAAAAATAAAATAGTAGAAAAAAAATATAACACACTTTACTTATTCTAACAAATAAATGAATATAAAAAGTAGAAGACAACGCTTATAGTTAAAACTATTTAAGTTAAACTATATAACTACTTTCATAAGCTATTATCCATTAAAGTAGTATATAATAAGCTAAAATAAATTAAAAACTTTATAGTAATAATGAAAAAAAGTGGTCATAGTTAAGTAATTATAATATCATATTATAAAACATATTTACTTAGTTTAAGCTATTAAATTGAGTACAGATTTGATTAACAATCATATTATTTTAGAAGTTTTAGTACTTAAATATACTAAAGCTTCAGCCATTAAAAGCTAAGTAATAAATTATATACTTTATTTTCTTTACTTATATCTATAGTTAGTTAAATTTAGGCTATTAATTTAGGCAAAAATTTAACTAAAAACAAAATTGCTTTAGTAGTCTTAGCGTTTAGGAATGCTAAAGCTCTAGCTAGTAAGAGCTAAGCAATAGATTGCGTACTTTATTTATTTAATCTATTTGTGTACTTAGTAGGTAACAGGAGCCTATTTAAGTTTGTTAATTTCTATTAGAAGTAATACTATTTCTCTTTCGCGATTTACTAGAAAATTCTATATATAGTTAGTAGGTAATAAAAGCAATACCCTTTTATTTTCGCGACTCACTAGAAAATCTGTAACGGCGCAGGTAAGGCAGGTCGGATCTGTTTCGGTCGTAGGATCACTCAGAGGCATATGGGAGTGCGTGGGATCACAAAGAGCCTAGATTCAACAAGCCACCTATAGGCCTTGTACGAAAGGATATCAAAAGTCTACAGAGCTAGCTACAGGGAGTGTCTCAATATATACCTATCCTAGTCGGGTCCGAATTCGGATCCGACCTCGGGCGAATGGCTGATGAAGGGCGGCAGGTACTTCCTCCGATCCGGCTCTGGGATTGGCTCAATACTTGGCGAAGTTGTAACATCGTTACAAAA